CCCTATGGCAAGGATGGTGGGATTGTGGTCAGAACCGAAGCTTGATGTTTGTCTGCTAAAACAAAAATACATTTCTATATGATGTAAATAAATCCCAGAGTCTCATAACATTAAAAATGCCCAAGATGCAATCCAAAATTATTTGTGATACCAAGAAGAAAAAATCTCAACTCACATGTGAAAAATAATCGACAGACACTAGCATTGAAATGATAAAGATGTTGGAACTATGAAACAGAGGCAGTCTTTGTAACATAACTATTAACATTTTCCAACAGGCAATTTTGAACACTCTTGAAACAATTTATAAGTCTCAGCAGAGAAAGAAAATCTATAAAGCCAAAAGGAACTGTTTGAACTGAAAAAATACAATGAAATGAAACAAACAAAAGAGCCCCCCCCAATCTAGATGACAAAGGAAGACAGAGCATTAAAAGATGCGTCAACAGAAGTTGTTCAATCCAAACAAGAGGGGCAAAAAAATTTTAAAGTGTCCCTGCCACTTAAACCCATTACTGAGAATGAGCAAGTAATTCAATACCATCCAGGTAATATTTGTACCAAGCATTAACTGGGCATTATTTCATTTAATTGCCTACAACTACCCTATTAGATGCTTTCCTTATTTTCATTTTACAGAAGAAAGGATTTGGATATGGCTGACTGTAGAACTAATCTATTGTACCTGGCTTCCTCCAGCAGACCTACTAACTAACCTCTGTGCTTCTGTGAACATCATAATGGATGTGTATAAAAGTTTATTAGAAGATAGAAGAAAGAGAAAATGAAGAATTATTGCTTCAGCGGTACTGGGTTTCTCTTTGGGATAGTAAAATAAATTGGAAATGGATAGTGGTGACAATTATATAGCACAGTAAATGTGATTAATGTCACTGAATTACACACCTAAGAATGGTTGAAACAGCAATTTAAAAAATGTATTTTACCACAGAATTTTTAAAAGGATAGTAAAGCTCCTGCTTTAAACAAATGTCAATATTGCAAAATCAATTGAGGTGATACAGAATTTGTTTTAGAAAATTAATACACCCAATCATAATATCATTACCCAAATGTTTATTATGTGCTCATCACTGTAGTAATCATTTTAATACCTTCATGACCCTTGAATCATATGGTTCTTATCTACAGTTTTGATTCTGGGGCTTGGTAGGAAGCAGCTATTCCTATTAATGTATTCTGCCATGGGTGGGTGTAAAACTGAGTGAAGCTGAAGAAACGGGCCACATTCCACTAACCCCAGGGTAAGACCCCTTGGCACATACGTATACCACTTTTATCTCAAAAACATTTTTTCACTTCCAACTGCCTCCCATGACTGAAAATACACAGCTTGCAACATCCAAATTTTTCAGTTCCAGTTTGGTTATGGAAGGGTTAAAAGCATTCTCTCCGCCTGGGTTTTTGCTAAATGCTGTTAAAGCAAGTCTGATCAAATACTTCAGTGTCTCTCAGGGATGTGGTATTGCTGGCCAGCTTCCAGTGTTTAAGTGAGCAGAGAACTGGGAGCGGGAGGGACTTCCCAGGTCCCACTCCTTGCCCAGAAGCTGCCACCTCCTCGCGGGAGACAGGACATTGTTTCCACAGCAAAGGAGCCATTCGTTGCTTTTGCTGAGGAGGGTAGAGGACCAGAGCTAGGTTATCATCAAATGAAATGAAATGAAATGGGTACGACTGCCCGACGCCAGACCCTGTGACATTTCTCTGAGGAACATCAGCTATGTAATGTCGTGGCAGGCTCGGGTCGCCCCGGTGCTTTGCAACGGGAACACCACCTTTTCTTTATTCTGCAAACGTTTCCGACCGCCCATCACTTCCCGAACCTAAAGTTGCCACGGGCCGCGGCCGACACCAAGAGCCTGCGAGCGCACGTCCAGGGCCCGCGGTCCGCAGGAGCGGAGCGTCTGCTCACACTTCCATCGGCCACGCAGCCACCGGGCTTGGCCTGCGCGCGGCCGGGCCCGGCCCCCGCGCGCACGGAGACGGCACCCATGCTCAAGCACACGCACGGAGGCGCCGCGTCCCGCGTCCTCGGCGCTAGGCTGGGTCCTCGGGAGCGAGGCCGCACTGCCACCCTGCCGCGTCAAGCGCACGAGGGTGCAAAGGCGGGGAGCCAAAAGCGGGCGCTCGCAGGGGAGCGGGTGCCCGCGACCGCGCTCGTGCATCCACGGGTCTCCTCAAGCCCCGCCCACTTCTTCTCCCGCGCGCGGGCTCGGCGCGCACCGAGCCGCGCGCTTGCGCGCGCGTGCGCAGGCCAGAGCTCGAGGGGGCCGGACCTCGGCCGCCAACGAAAACGTCCGCCGAGTCCCGGATTAACCCTTTCTCTGCTCGCCCACTCGGTGGCCCGATCGGGTTCCGTGCTTGCGCAAGCCGGTGGCGCGCCTG